AAAATGGTAGCTGAGCAACTGCTCATGCTCATGCTAAGTGTGTCACATATTGGTTTGAATCGACCAGTTCGGCTTGTAATAGAGCAAATAAATAGCAAGTACATTTGGTATTGAAATCTATGGAAGCCCATTTCCGTCACTGAATAAAAAATTAAAAAAGCTTATTGCAACTTTTTATCTCACAATTATTACATTTCTTCTCAGAATTGCATGATACAAACTCGCAATTGTGAGTTTATATCCCACAATTCTGAGAAAAAGTTAGTATTGCAAGTTATAAAGTCACAATTGTGAACTTGCAATTTTGAGAAAAAATTACAGAATTGCATGATAAAAATGTGCAATTCTGACTTTCTCGCAAATGCGAGTTTGTATCTCGCAATTCTGACTTTTTTCACGCAATTCTGACTTTTTTTCTCAGAAATGAGAGACATAAATTCGCAATTGCAAGCTATAAAGTCCAATTCTAAGGGGGAAAAAAAGACTGATATGTTCTCAGAATTGCGAGTTTATATCTCACAATTCTGATTTAATAACTCAAAATTGCATGTTATAAAGTCAGAATTGCAAGATATATAGCCTAAACTAGCAATTCAGAAAAAAAGTCACAATGAAAAAAGGTTATTGCGACTTCTTATCTCCCAATTCTTACTTTTCTCTCAGAATTGTTATTTAAACTCACAATTCTGAGAAAAAAGTCAGAATTGCATGATTAAAAACGTGCAATTCTGACTTTTTTTCTCGCAATTGTGAGTTTATATCTCAAAATTCTGACTTTTTTCTTGCAATTCTGACTTTTTTCCTCGCAATTGTGAGTTTATATCTCAAAATTCTGACTTTTTTCACGCAATTCTGACTTTTTTCTTTGGTGAGATATAAACTCACAATTGCGAGTTATAAAGTCCAGTGTTGAGGGGAAAAAATAGACTCGGATGTTCTCTGAGTTTGTATCTCACAAAGCTGAGAAAGTCAGAATTACGAGTTTGTATCATGCAATTCTGAGGAAGAAAGTCAGAATTGCACAATTTAAACTCACAATTGAGAGGAAAAAGTCAGAATTGTGAGATAAAAAGTCGTAATTACCTTTTTTTTTTTTTTTTTTGGTGCAAAAAGACTTCCATAGGAAGTGGCCCAATTGCTTGTAAAAAAAAATGCAAATCAAAATTGGTTATGAAAAACTATAATCGGTGCATCCCTAGTTTTTCAATTGTTCATAGTGTTTGTAATTTTTAAATTAATATTATGCAGTCACATTAATGCTGTCATTGATTTTCAGTGAGTTAAAATTTTTGGAGTTTGACACAATAACATCGCTGCTGCACTGCTGTTTCAATATATTCTTCTCCCCTTTGGAGCTTGACTATTTAGAAATATTGTATTAGAAAAAATCTAACAAATTAGAGAGACACCTAACAGTTGCTCAGCCAAATACAAGAAAAACATAGGAAGTGGCCCATTGCTTGTAAAAAAAAAATGCAAATCAAAATTGGTTATGAAAAACTATAATCGGTGCATCCCTAGTTTTTCAATTGTTCATAGTGTTTGTAATTTTTAAATTAATATTATGCAGTCACATTAATGCTGTCATTGATTTTCAGTGAGTTAAAATTTTTGGAGTTTGACACAATAACATCGCTGCTGCACTGCTGTTTCAATATATTCTTCTCCCCTTTGGAGCTTGACTATTTAGAAATATTGTATTAGAAAAAATCTAACAAATTAGAGAGACACCTAACAGTTGCTCAGCCAAATACAAGAAAAACACCTTGCGTTTGTTTTCAGATGAACTCATCTGTCTAGCAGTGGTGAGTGAATGCCATATTGCACATCTCTAGCAGGTGCGAGCGCATTGACTTAAAACGATAGAGCAGCTAAAGCTGACAGTGGGAAATCACAATTAAACATGTCCAGCGGGGCTTTATCACGAATGCCTGGAATGCATGTTTAGGCACTGCTGGATCAGTACTTCAATTAAGGATCTTTTAACCTGAATGAATCAGTCGATGGCAGCTCAGCCTTCCTGAGGCATCAGACTCATTGCATCAAGACTTCAAAGACAGCTTCAATTCTGAGGGCATTTGAAACACTCATCTGTCTGTTTTTGTAATAGTTGATGAGAACCGAACGCGTGTGTTGGGTAAAACGACGATTAGATTGAAGGCATTGTTAGAGATGGGGGCCACTCTGTGTGTCTTTGAGCTGATGGGACTCAGGCTAATGTAATAAAGGCTCTGAGATCAGCAGATGCCAGCTGTGTTTCTAGGGCTGCACAGCATTCTGGGAAACGCTCTCGAGATGCAGTAATAGAAGGTCATAAACCTCTGTTTGTTTCATTTAGCCGGTGTGCAATTTAAGTAATATACAGGTAGTTTAAGCTGTTATATTCTGTCTATTAAACTGTTCATCCAAAAATGAAAATTCTGTCATTATTTATTCACTCTCAAGTTAGGCTGGGCAAAACTGTATATTAGCAACACGATAATTCTGATGACATATAGCAATAATATTATAAAACGGAGAGTTCCGTTCCTTGATTCTGATTGGCTGAGCCGCGTTCGAAGCTGTTGTAAATTACTCTACAAACATACACCTTTGTTTACTTCTGTGTGTTGCTCGGCAACCACTTTGTTGGAACCACAACTGTTTCTGAGGAACTACATTGTTTGGTGGAAGAATACTGTTTTTATTAATATCATTACACTTTATTTGCTCTGTTTTATTTTGTGAAACCTTACTACGTATATGGAATTATAAAAGCTTTGCGTCGTGCCTAACAACGGCCCTTAGCTGTTATAAATTCACTATAAACCATGGCTTCTTGGGACTAATTGCTTAATTAAAAGTTTTGTTTTTAAGCAAACCATTTTCATTCCCTTTTTTCTGTGAAATTACAGCATGTTATTGCAGCGTTGAGTATTGTAGCCCATTACAGACATGTCTGTTGAGTGTGTGAACGCAATCACCAATCAGAGGTGTTGACGTTAGTCAGAATCCACTCAGAACCACTCTAAATGCTGTTTTTTTCAGTAAGTGCACATCACCGACTGTTCCACACCCTCATCAGTCCTTTCATTATGAGCAACAAAGTGTTAAACAAACAGTGTAAATAAGAGTGTGCAGTGTAGACAGCTTCACTGATTATAATAGGTGTTTTCACAAGAGCGCAGAGCTCATTGAGCTCGTGTTGAAGTGATTGACAGATTCAGTGGTTATAAAGGAAGTGCTCTTTCCTTGCTTCTGTTTATGACCCAGTCATAATTTGAACCATTGTATTTAATGTCTGGATTGACAACCATATTTATATGCAGGATTGAAAATGCAGTTATTGACAGCAGACTGGACAAGAAAAAATCTGATACTGATACTGTGCAAAATGAAATGGAAGTCTTGCAAACTAATAAACCTGCCACTTGTTTCTGTGTTTCTTTGTTTTTCTTTCATCTTTGTACTTTAAACAACTTGCTTTGTAACTTGGGAAAGCCACAACTTTTTGTAAGGAACATTTTTTAATGCAGTTTTTGTTTTATTCTTTTTTTTTTTTTTTTTTAGTTAAATTTTTATATTTCATGTTTTTGTATTGGCGCAATGGTACCTTTAAATCGGATTTTAAATGTTCCTTTTGTGTTCATTTTGTAAAAAAACAGTAATTGATTGATTGATTGATTGATTGATTGAGCACTTGATTGATTCCAGGTAATTTTGCCATAAACAATTTGTATGTACTTTGTTACAATTGCTGAAATGTTGAAGAAAAAATGTTTAAAAATTTCCAAATTTGGAAAAATATAGTGGTATAAATTTTTAACTACTGCTCAGCCTTACCCTTATACCATTCCAAACCCATTAAACTTCTGTTCATCTTCAAAACACAGGTATTCAAAATATTAACAGTTTCTGCCCTTCCATTCACCATAAATGTTGGTGCTTCAAAATTTCATTAAAACATTGTAAATGGATTCCATATGAATCAAGTGGTTTAATCCAAGTCTTCTGAAGAGACATGATTGTTTTATATGATGAACAGATTACTCATTTAGGTTTTTATTCACAAGTAAACATTGATCAACACATACACTGGCGTTCAAAAGTTTGGGATCAGCAAGATTTTTAATGTTTTTTAAAGAAGTATATTTTGCTAATCAAGGCTGCATTTATTTGATCAAAAATAGAGAAAAAAACGTTTTTAAACTTTAAAATATAATTCATTCCTGTGATCAAAGCTGAATTTTCAGCATCATTACGCCAGTCTTCAGTGTCACATGATCCTTCAGAAATCATTCTGATATGCTGATTTATTATCAATGTTGGAAACAGTTGTGCTAGTAGTAGACCGAAGGTTTTAGTGTGAAGGGTGCATTTGATCTTCCGAAGGAACCAGTGATATATGTTCTTGCGTGTCAAGCAAGTACGGTTACTTTCATATTTGATGCTACTGTACTAGTATGTTAAAAGGTCAGTCCTTATTTCATTGGATTCTAAATTGCGATCTTTCTCCTTCTCTTCTAGGAGGCAGCATTAAGGATCGTCCCCAGCGCTCCCGGCGCTCTTGATCATCCCAGCGCTCAGCGTGCTGGCTCCTCCCCCTCCCGGCGGCAGCGTGCGCTCTCAGCCGCCCCCGTGCACCCCGCGCTCGCCAGGCCTGCGCGCCCGAGCCCATGCCCCCAGCTCCACGCGGCCCTCCAACGCCATGTGTGTCCCGCACACTATGGAGGCGGGCAAGCACAGCGCCAGCCAGGGGCAGGGCAGCCGCGCCGGGGTCCCCCTGGAGCCGTTCATTCACCAGCAGCATATTCAAAATAGAATATTCATTTCTAACAACATGTCTTTACTATCACTTTTCATCAATTTAACACATCCTTTCTGAATAAAAGTATTAATTTCTTTAAATTCTTTAAAAAAATGCTGATCCCAAACTTTAAACGGCAGTGTGCATGGAGCTCATCAAATATAGTAGACCAGGGCTGTCCAAACTCGGTCCTGGAGGGCCGGTGTCCCATTAAGGATCGTCCCCAGCGCTCCCGGCGCTCTTGATCATCCCAGCGCTCAGCGTGCTGGCTCCTCCCCCTCCCGGCGGCAGCGTGCGCTCTCAGCCGCCCCCGTGCACCCCGCGCTCGCCAGGCCTGCGCGCCCGAGCCCATGCCCCCAGCTCCACGCGGCCCTCCAACGCCATGTGTGTCCCGCACACTATGGAGGCGGGCAAGCACAGCGCCAGCCAGGGGCAGGGCAGCCGCGCCGGGGTCCCCCTGGAGCCGTTCATTCACCAGGTGGGCGGCCACACCAGCATGATGCGTTACGACGACCACACCGTCTGCAAGCCGCTCATCAGCCGCGAGCAGCGCTTTTACGAGTCCCTGCCGCCAGAGATGAAGGAGTTCACCCCCGAGTACAAAGGTAAGATGGATGATCTGGATGCATTGCACCCTTCTTAGGGTGACTCGTGGTCTAAAAAGATGCTGGAAAAACTGTGAGACACAACTCAATGTGCAAGCCTGCAAACAACTGAAATTGTTTTGTTGTTGAAGATAGTGGATTCATTCCAAAAGCAGTGTTTTTTTAAAGATTTTTTTTTGGCATTTATTAGCTTTATTTTGATAGGATAGTCGGTAGACAGGAAGGGAAGCATGAGAGGGGGGCCGGGATCGGAAAAGGTCCGCGAGCCGGGACTCAAACTTGGGACAACCGATGCGCCACAACGCTATATGTCGAACTCGGGATGACCGATGCACCACAATGCTATATGTCGAACTCGGGATGACCAATGTGCAAAAACGCTATATGTTGAACTCGGGACGACCGATGCGCAACAACGCTATGTCGAACTCGGGATGACCGATGCGCCACAACGCTATATGTCGAACTCGGGATGACCGATGCGCAACGCTATATGTCGAACTCGGGATGACCCATGCTCAAAAACGCTATATGTCGAACTCAGGGGGACCGATGCGCCACAACGCAATATGTTGAACTCGGGATGACTGATGCACAACGACGCTATATGTTGAACTCGGGATGACTGATGCGCCACAACGTTATATATTGAATTCGGGATGACCAATGCGCCACAGCGCTATATGTTGAACTCGGGATGACTGATGCACAACGACGCTATATTTTGATGACCAATGCGCAAAAACGTTATATGTCGAACTCGGGGCGATCGATGCGCAACAATGCTATATGTCGAACTTGGGATGACTGATGCACAACAACGCTATATGTTGAACTCAAGATGACTGATGCGCCACAATGCAATATGTTGAACTAGGTATGACAGATGCACAACGACGCTTTATGATGAACTCGGGATGACCAATGCGCAAAAACGTTATATGTCGAACTCGGGGCGATCGATGCGCAACAATGCTATATGTCGAACTTGGGACAACCGATGCACAACGCCGCTATATGTCGAACTCGGGATGACCAATGCGCAACGCCGCTATATGTCGAACTCGGGATGACCAATGCGCAAAAACGTTATATGTCGAACTCGGGATGACCGATTCACCACAACGCTATATGTCGAACTTGGAACAACTGATGCGACACAACGCTATATGTCGAACTCGGGATGACCGATGCGCAACAACGCTATATGTCGAACTTAGGACAACCGATGCACAACGACGCTATATTTAGAACTCGGGATGACCAATGAGCAACAACGCTATATTTTGAACTCGGGACAACCGATGCGCCACAACGCTATATGTCGAACTTGGGATGACCGATGCGCAACAATGCTATATTTTGAACTCGCGACAACCGATGCGCCACAAAGCTATATGTCGAACTTGGGACGACCGATGCACAAAGACGCTATATGTCGAATTTGGGATGACCGATGCGCAACAACGTTATATGTCGAACTTGGGACAACCGATGCACAGCGACGCTATATGTCGAACTCGGGATGACCAATGCGCAACGACGCTATATGTCGAACTCGGGATTGCCGATGCGCAACAACGCTATATGTCAAACTTGGAACGATCGATGCGCAACATTACTATATGTCGGACTTGAGGCGACCGATGCACAGCGACGCTATATGTCGAACTCGGGATGACCAGTGCGCAACAATGCTATATGTCGAACTTGGGACGACCGATGCACAACGACGCTATATTTCGAACTCGGGATGATCGATGCACAGCGATGCTATATTTCGAACTCGGGATGACCAATGCGCAACAACACTATATGTCGAACTTATATGTTGAACTCGGGACGACCGATGTGCCACAACGCTATATGTTGAACTTGGGACGACGGATGCACAATGACGCTACATATCGAACTCGGGATGACCGATGCGCCACATCGCTATATGTCGAAATCGGGACGGCCAATGCACAGCGACGCTATATGTCGAACTTGGGATGGCCGATGCGCCACAACGCTATATATTGAACTCTGGATGACCGATGCGCAGCAATGCTATATGTCGAAATCGGGACGGCCAATGCGCAACGCCGCTTATATGTCGAACTCGGGATAGCCGATGCGTCACAACGCTATATATCGAACTCGGGATGACCGATGCACCACAATGCTATATGTCGAACTCGGGATGACTGATGCGCCACAACGCTATATGTCAAACTTGGGATGACCGATGCGCCACAACGCTATATGTCGAACTCGGGATGACTGATGCGCCACAACGCTATATGTCGAACTTGGGATGACCGATGCGCCACAACGCTATATGTCGAACTCGGGATGACCGATGCGCAACAACGCTATATGTCGAACTTAGGACAACCGATGCACAACGACGCTATATTTAGAACTCGGGATGACCAATGAGCAACAACGCTATATTTTGAACTCGGGACAACCGATGCGCCACAACGCTATATGTCGAACTCGGGATGACCGATGCGCCACAACGCTATATGTCGAACTTGGGACGACTAATGCGCAACAACGCTATATGTCGAACTTGGGACGACTAATGCGCAACAACGCTATATGTCGAACTTGGGACGACTAATGCGCAACAACGCTATATGTCGAACTTGGGACGACTAATGCGCAACAACGCTATATGTCGAACTTGGGACGACTAATGCGCAACAACGCTATATGTCGAACTCGGGACGACCGATGTGTAGCGGCGCTATATGTCGAACTCGGGACGACCTGTGTTCACGATCTGTGAACAAAACTTTATTAAACGATATTTGTAGTGCTCCTCCCATCCAATAATTACAAGAAGCTATATGCTTTGTTACTCTGGATATGAACCAAAGTTTCAGCTTTCAGATTCTGTCAGTTTTACAATGAAATACAAACAAAAAATTTATTTTGATGCTCTTTAAAGGGATAGTTCACCCAAAAATTAAAATGTGATGTTTATCTGCTTACCCCCAGGGCATCCAAGATGTAGGTGACTTTGTTTCTTCAGTTGAACACAAACGAAGATTTTTAACTCAAACCATTGCAGTCTGTCAGTCTTCTAATGGAAGTGAAACCGCCACCTATATCTCAAATGGACCATTGACACTCCTAATTGAAATTGTAGATAGAGTGTCAATGGTCCATTTGAGAGATAGGTGGCGGTAATGCACTTAT